CTGCACTGCCCCGCTCCGCTCCGCGGTGCAGGTGTGGCGGGATGAAGCCGTGGTGCGCTGGGTGGAGGGGGCAAGGCGGTGACTGAGGTGCCTCGCCAGCCCAGCCTAGACCCGCGCATTCCCTTGGAGACCCGGCAGGGGAGGGCGGCATCCCACACCTCACGCGGTGCACAGGGTGCACACGGATGTCCTGTGCTCTTGGATATCTTTGTGGCGAAAGCCTTCGCAAAAGCAGCGTTTTGAACGCCTTACCCCATTATACTGGAGGGGGTCCAGCAGAGGGTCAAAAAGATGATTACGGGTCTGTAGCATCTCTTATGAGAAGAGACTGCAGGACTGGGTTTGTTTAATCTGGAGAAGACTGAGAGGGGGTCTCATCAATGCGTACAAACACCTTAAAGGCAGGTGTCAAGCTGATGGTGCCAGGCTCTTCTCAATCGTGCCCAGCGACAGGATGAGGAGCAATGGCCATAAATTAAAACACAAGAAGGTTTACCTCAACACAGGGAAGAACTTTACACTGAGGGCAGCAGAGCACTGGAACAGGCTGCATGGTGAGGTGATGGACTCTCCCTCTCTGGAGATGTTCAAAACCCACCTGGACACATTCCTGTGTGACCTACCCTGGGTGATTTTGTCCTGGCAGGAGGTTGGACTGGATGATCTCCAGAGGTCTCTTCCAATTTTAACAATTATGTGATTCTGTGACACCAGCAGTAGGGCAGGACCGGACCTTGCAGACATGCCTGGTGCACACAGATGTGGCGTGCTCTTGGAGGTCATCATGGCAAAAGCCCTTGCAAATGTAGTTTTCTGAACTACTTACCCTATTTTAAGCCTATATCCTTACTCCACACCAAGCTGGTTTGTTTTTCCCAGTGTTCAGTAGATGTTGGTGCAGCTGGTGGAGTTGTGAGTGGGGTGTCTTGGAGGAGTTGGTCATAGCCCCAGCTCCAGGCTCACCTCTGTGTGGAGCCTTGCATCCAATTTCCTGTGTCAGGAATTGACTGACCATTCATCCTGTGCTGTCTCAGTTTCACTGTTTGCATTATGCTTTCTGGTCTCATTACTGATTTTTGACTGTCATTTAATGTCTGTGGCATAGCCCAAAAGCTATGGCAGTCTTTGCTGAGCTGTGAAAGCAAATCTTTCTGTGGAGGATGGAAGAATATTGTCAAATGTAGTTCTTGGCAATGGTGATGCATTTTGAGAGTAGGTGTATGTATATATCATATATAATCGCTTAAGACACAGTGCTATGTAAATACTGCATTTTCTTTTGGGGAGCTACTGTCTCTCAGCTTTCTGAATGATTCATTAAGAGTAGTCCCTGTACTAGAACTACATATTCCACAGTGAAAGCCCCATCTCAAGAAATAGATTACTTTTACTTTTATTTTCTCATTCTAGTGGACTGTCATGTTTGCTATTTGAAAATTACAGTAAGTCTTCCATTATCCATGAAAATAACCTTTCTTCATTTTACATAGAGAATTTTGATTTCTCATGAAATTTCATAAGCATTTCCACTCTAACAAGCCAAATGTATTTGCAAAAAAGTAATAATAATTGTATGCTTTTGAGATTTGGAAGAAAGAAATATTATCTGTCTTATTCAAATTGTATTGACCTTATTGAACTCTTTATAAGCCAGGGAAAAAAGACAACTGTAGAAGACTTTACCCTATCCGACTGTAGTCTTGTTACAGCTCTAAATTTCCATTAATCCATCTCATGAAGGGGAACTTTAAATAGCAAGAGGCTCTTCAGTATAAATATTCTGCCTGACATTAAGATGCAAAATACTCTGGTGTTTTAGTCAGCCGGCTCATTATCCTAGATAAAGGATTTTTTTCTTCTCATTCCACAGAGACTTTCAGAATATATTTAAATTTTAATTTGCCTACAAAGATATTTAAGAGCAGAAATCACACTCTTTCCCTTACCTTTGCCTAGAAGTACTCTTCTGTTTCATGGCACTTTATGATTTTGAGTAGGCTTATTTCCTCTCTGAAATTATTGTGATTTTTTTGCTCATTCCCTTATGTGAGTGTAGAAAGCCATACAGATGCAGCTGTGCCAAAAGAATCTCAGATAGCCAGCTCACACTATGATAGTAATGTTTAGACTAACAAGTCTATATAATATACTGGTAGCTTTCCAACAATAATTTTTATGCTAGTGAAATGCCTGATTTTTGTAAATGTCTGTACTGTCATCAGCTTATTAATTACCATTTTCTTTCCAACTATTTCATGTTGAAATGTTATATGCCATAAACCAGTCAACACCATTTTAATGTAGTAGCAACACTGTAGTAATAATGTTCATTGCTTTGCCACCTTTGTATAGAAAGAAGGTTCTGTTTATCTAAAACACATTTGTGAGATGTCTTGCCTGAGAAGAGAAGGTTATGTGTCATGGACATGGAAAGAAGTGCCACAAAAGCCTGCCTTGTCCCCCTGCTTCCTTCCTGGCAGCACTTGTGTGTGAGTGGGTATCTCTGTCTTTTTTGTTAACTGTATCTTGAGGGTGGCAATTCAAAGCACACATCACTGACCCAGCCCTGCCAGACTGACTCACCTGAGAAACTTCAGCTAATGCAGTGCACTTTAGAATCCTACCCTTACATTTGTTGCATACCCTTACATTGTAAGGGTATGCAACAGCTTGCTTAAATCAGCCACCAGTGATTTGATATTGATTAGCAATACTCCCTCTGTAAGTATTTATTTTTCTGAAATTTAACTGACTGCCTCTATTGAAACTAATTGAAAGGGCACAGTGATGAGACATTTTTACAGAAATTGTTCTGGATTCCATGTTTACTGCATTTACTTTGGCAAGGAGAAAAGCTGGCTTCTAAGAACTACGATAGTTTTTAGCTAAAACTTCTTAATTCCAGAGTATAAACCCCTCATTTTTCAGGGATGCAGAAGTGACAATTACTGTTTCCCCATGCATTCTGCAGACTTCAAAGGTTTATTTTGTTGTTCAGACACATTAGGAGGCTGATTTCATGCAGAAGGAATACAACCTAATCCATTTGCCTTTCTTTTAGAGCACAGATTCCTCCAGCTTGATCTTTATAGGTACTGAATGCTTGCAAGTGTTTGGTGGTTTTGGAGATCAGCCCATCTAAACAAAAGAAGAAAGGGCAGTCTTTTTTTTTCCTTCCTTTTTTTAGGCATTCTTCTGAGAAAAATATTTTTATATTGTATAGCTTTCAGTAAGGTTAGCAGCTAGTATACCAAGTCATTATGTAAGACAAATAGAACAATTCTTGTTCCAGTTTGCAAGTCCTGAGGATAATACCACCTTTCATTACATTCCAAGGATTCTTATTTCTTTTTGTACTTCTGTCTTTCTAATGTTTACTGGAAGCCTTTTGGCATGTTAATGTAGTAATTTGTGGCTGCTGCACACTATTTGTTTTCATGCAGTATTTAACTAAGTATTTTATATGCAGCACTGCTACAGGATACTATATACAACAAAAAATTCTTAAAAAATTAAGGGGTTAAGAATTTTGGTATGTCAACTGCACCCAACTGATGCTTATTGAAACAAAGCACATTATTCAAAACTTCCAGAGTTGAACAGAAATAGATTTATGAGCTGTGTTTTTAGCTGATTTAGCCCACATATTTTATCTTTTACTAGAATTTTAAAGTGTAAAGAGGAGCTCAAAAAATCAAATTATATTATCTACTAGTTATCTCTAGAATATGGCATATATTTTGGGAAATACCAT